CGGCGAGGCCGGGAAACGGTCGCGCGGCAGCGGTTGGGAAAGGTGTGTGTGTGGGGGGGTGTCCCTCCCTGTGCTTCCCCGCTCCGGCAACCGCCGCACAGGGGTCCCCGGCGTCGTGTTCCTCCGGCGGCTGCTGCCGCGGGGACGAGGAGGGGGAGGCCTTGCCGCCAGGTCATTTCATGTATTTATCTACTTAGAAGTGGGGTTACGGGAGGGCAGGGGTGCCCTCCTCGCGTGTTCCCACTCGGGAGGGGGAGTTTGCCGGCCTCCTCCCCCCAGGCACACACGTAGGCGTCGAGAGCGCGGAGATCTGGGCTCGTTACCCGCTGCTTGCAAGTAGCCTTCCTCTTCTCTCCCTCCTCCCCAAAAAGCCTTCCCATCGTTTGTGCTTTCTGCTTCAGCGATGAGCGAGTCCACGCTCCGAAAAGCAGTAACGTTTTCTGCCTACTGAAGTGGTTCAGAACTTTTTTTTGGGGGATGGAGGGGTTGTTTGAGGATTTTTTTTTTTAGTAACAGGTGCTTATTCGAGAAATTTCAAGGGGTTTGAGTGATTGCTTGGAGATGCTAATTTTATCGAGCGTTGTTTCTTTAACGATACGAGGAAACTGGTTGGTCCTGCTTTCCGCGCTGGGTGTTTTGGACTCTGAGTCACCCTGTACAGTCCAGCCTACTTGATCTAAATAAATTTGTAAATGCCATATTTTTCGGATGAGCAAGTAGCCAAAGCACTGTGGGTAATAAGTCCTGCTCGAACCTGCAAAAACAGGGCAATTCTGAGCTGGGACTAAGCGCATGGAGGCTGCGAAACGCATGCTCTTGAGGCAGCCGTGTGCGAGGGCACTCTGTGCTTGCCAAGTTAGTTCCTTTTCGAGTGGGGAAGGAACTACCTCGCACCGAGTGAAGTTTCAGTTGAAATAGCTTCTTGATAGTCCGGATCATCTGAGAGACCGCTTTTCTTATTCTCCAGCTGGATTGTAAGGGTTTGTCGTTATTGCACGTGATGAGATCAGATGGCGCGCTGCTGCATTTCTGTGTTTCGTGTGTTAGGCATTTCAGGAGACACGTGAATTTCACGTGGAAGTTCAAACGGCCCTATGTGTGTGCTCACTGTAGGTGGGTGTTGGCTAAATCTAGCGGGAGGTGAGTAAGAAGATTTGAGTATGACTTCAGAAGATCATTAGCCATAACTTTTTACTCTCAATTCTTCATATTTTCACTGGTGAATGAAACATTTGTGTTAGGTTTCTTCTGTTTCCACGTGCCTTACCTGCCAGAGTTTTGTGAGGCAACAGCTGCCCACAAACATCCCGTGTTTTTTCTACCTTTGTTTCGTGTTGTCTCTTACTTTCCTGTTCCATTGTTCCACATCAGCCAGTGAAGATTAAATTTAGCTCAGTTCTCACTTGGCTCAGTTAAACAGATGGTTAATAATGATTTTGAAGGCATCTTGTTTCCTTTTCTCGGCCTTTCAAGAACTATTTTGTGGTATACTGCCTTAGAGTGGTTTACTAGGGAAGGATCATCCCATTGTTCCTGGTTTTAAGAACAGAAGATGAAATTACACGTGGGATATGATGGGGAAAGAAAATAACATGAGAGAAAGGATAAAAAAGCCCTGATCTGAAAGAGTAATTGAAGGCGGTATGTCAAAGATTTGGCAGGAAGGGCACGAGGGAGACTGCCCCCTCCCAACCAACTTGTTTTTCTGTTAGTAGTGGTACCACTGGTGATAACAACAATTATTTGATTTGGTAAACTAAATAGGGGGAAAACGCAGTTTGTCTGAATTCCTACTCTGCTTCCAGGACAGAACTGCAGTCCAGGTTCTTCTTTAGACTTGTTCCCTTGTATAGAATGATGAGGGATTGGGGTAATCTGGAACAAGGGAAAAAACTTGAAATTATTCTTGCTTCCGGACCGGAGCTAGTTCTGTCACAGTACTCTGCAGAGCCAGCTTTAGGATGGGTTTGGCTCAGCACCCTAGAAGTGGCATGCTGAGCTCCTGGACCACAGCTGTCTTTCTCGTTCATGGTGATGTGATGCTTTAATGATGGAGCTAAATCGGATTAGAGAGATCTAGCTCTGCCCCTCTCCCTGTGGCAGGGATCTTTGATCCATCTCCAGGTAATTTTACAGTAAGTAATATAAAGCTGACTGTATCAAAGCAGCAAAAGACAGCTGTGCCATCTGATGTGGATAGATAGTAATCTGAAACAAGCTTATTCTCCTTTACATGGGTGTCTTCCCTTGTTCAGAAAATAATTTTTTTCTAATTCTTTTTCATCTCAGGGATCTTTTGGTGATGCATCACCAGGAAAGCAAAAAGAAATTCAAGAAGCAGATCCTACGTACGAAGAGAAAATGGTATGTAGTATTTGGGACTATGTACAGCTGTCCAGTACTTATGCAGTTGCTTAAAATAGGCTCGGGTTCTCTGCTTGTTTGAAATCTATTAACTGAGTTTAGAAAGCTTTTTCTAGTTACTCAAAAATATTTAAGTAACTCAAAACCAAAAAATATCCAGGAAAAAAACCCTCAGACCCATCTCCTTTTTAGCTTTTCCTTCACTGGTCTTCTGCTCTTTCTCCATTTCTGTTGTAGTAGTTTGTGGGAATTGCTGTTAATGTGTTTCCCTGTTTCTAGGAAGTATAGTCCTAGCAGCTTTGAGGTGCTCTAGATTTAGAAGAATGGTATAATGGGAAATATTCAAATGTCTAAGGGGAAAAAAACAGAACAAAAAGTTATCAAGTTGCTTTTGAAGTGCAGCTTCATTGTAGAGTTGTCCTTCCTGTAGGCAAGGGGGTTTATGAAGAGTTGAGCATTCACTTTCTCAGTTGGAAATGGAAAGATCCTCTGGGAAAGCTTCCATAAGCATTTAAATGGCCATTACCTTACTTTCTCAATATATGGAGTCAGTTGAAGCCTAGGACCTTTTCTATATCGCTGTTGAATACCAGAAAATAATTCCAAACTTAGTAGTGAGCTGCAGGAGTAGCAGTCCTTTGTAGGAAAAGTGTATTAATTTCTATTTGGGGGCGTGAGCAGTAAAAAGAAAGGTTTGCATAAGGCTTTGGGTGGCACTGCATTCGTTTTCAGTAGGAGGATTTCAAAACAGGCAGATTCTTTCAAACAGTACAGGTTACAGGTCAAAGTAAATAGTTAGCTTTCAAAATTCACAGGAGGCTGAGGAAAGGCTGGCTGTTTAGTACAAGCACTGATTGTAAGCCTGGGACAGCTTTTCAACTCTTCTGCTTTGTCAAGACTGAAAGGAATTTTGTTCACTTTTTTCGAAATTGAATTTTTTCTTTGTGAAGCTTTAGTTAGAGTCCTCAAGCTTTTGAAGATGGGTGATTTTGTGCTTCGCGGGTTAGATAGGAGAAAACTTACCATTTTCCTTATTTTTTGTTTTTATAATATCCTGAATGTAAGAGATTGAGCCGTCCACTCCTTACCATCTCATCTCATTTTCTTTCTCTGTTCCTCCCCATTTTCTGTTCTTCCTGTTGGTAATTCCAGTGTCTGTGACTACATGTGGAATTTCTTCATAGGAAAGTGAAACTGAGTCTTATAATTTGCTGCTTCCTGTGTTGTTTCTTTTTGCTACTGAAAATAACGTAGTCTTCTTCTGCTAATTTCTTTGTGCTACTTTCTGGCAAACCAAAGAAGGTGAACTTGGAGTTGTCTCTTCTAGTCTCTAGACAGGCACGATTACAAGGAGGATTGTATTTTACTGTTGGAATAGTCAGAAGATGCGCTGGAAGAGAAAACAGGAAAAGTTTCTCTTGGCAAAAGGGTAGCTCAGGGTTGCAGAGTACAGCCTGTTCTTGTCTGCATCCTATCTGAAAGACAGAGATAATGTTTGTTAGTCTCTTAAAGCAATATCCTTAAGCATAATGAAAACGAGTTGTGGGGATGTGTGTGCAGTGCTAAAACTTGCAGAAGATTCCTCACTAAAATTTTAGAACAAGGGAACTTTTTCAATGCAATCTGTAGCTCTTCTCTTCCGCATAGCCAGTGAACCAAGGACTTAAAAATAAGGGGCAGCAATTTGGATAGTAGTGAGATCTGACCTAGTTTAAACTTCAGAAACAGTTGTGAAGTGAACAAACAAACAAAAAAACCCACGAAGAACAGACAGGAAAACTTTTAATTCAGTGGATGTGGATTGTAGCTGAGTCAATCAAGCTTTAACTATAGTAAGAATGAGTCTGGCTTCTGTGGTAAATACAGGATCTCTTTCTTGGTCTCCTTCTTCTCTAACCCTCTGTCTTCCTGTCTTTTGCATAGGACAGGAGCTGCTTGCTTTATAGAGGAGAACACTCACAGAGCTGGGATTGCTCTTGCAGAAGTCTGGAACATATGTTCCTTTTTACTAAGAAAACTGACTTCCTGTAACTGTGCAAGTTGCTAAATACCAGGTTATGGTGTGGTAGCTGGCAGAATGTCAGAGTGGTTGCTCTTAAGCTTGGAGCTGTTTTCTGTCTTGATTGTCTCTTCTAAAGTTTTGATGTGGCCTTGGGAAGGTGTGTTGATTCCAAATGGAACCCGTCTCAAAGGAAACGAGCCTTTTAGATACTAATATTGTCTCCTGTAATCTTTTTTGCACAGCAGAAACAGCAACTCACATCAAAGGGGCAGTCTGACAAGTTAGGCTGAGCATATCTAAGAGGTCTTGCTGGTGAAATAGGTGTTCTGGCTTCTAGCTATGGGCTCTTCTGCCCCCTCCGCCCCCTTTCATGCCAGCTCTTTTGCTTATCTGACACCACAGTGAGGTGGTGTGTCTCTGAGCAGGCAGGAAACTAATGCAGTAGAAAATAGTTATTGCCAGGTTGGTGAGATGAATGAGTTCACTGAAGAGCCCTGTGTGTGCTGGGTGGGAATGAATTTCTGGGAGTGGGACTATCATTTTTGATAGGAGAAGGTTGTTAAGGGGACTCAGGCCTTGTCTAGTGACACTCATGCGATCTTTGTGCCTTAGCACAGGTCTGTCTTGCAGCTTTGATCTTACTGCGTAGCAAAGGCCAGCCTTGACCTGATAAAATAACAGTGAATCTGTCAGTAACAGTCATATTGTTGATGTGAATCATCTCTCCTTTGTTGTTGTAGCTATGTAGATGAAGAAATGTGAATCTATATTTTTGAAAAGCATTTGTTAGCTTTTTCTTTTGGATGAATATGTACTGTTATGTTTCACACTTGTTCCACTTAATTTTTCTTGTCAACAGCAAACAGACAGAGCAAACAGATTTGAGTATCTGTTGAAGCAGACTGAGCTATTTGCTCATTTCATTCAGCCTGCTGCTCAGAAAACTCCAACTTCACCTTTGAAAATGAAGCCTGGACGTCCACGAATAAAGAAGGATGAGAAACAGAATTTACTGTCAGTTGGCGAGTGAGTGATGACATGTAGGCCAGCTTGTACTGTAATTATGGATTTTATTGTACTTTAGAAGCGTAAGTTAAACTTGCTAGTCTTTTGTCCTATTTCGGTGTGTCTTGTATGCTGTGTAATTGTGGGGTTTTTTCAGCTGCCCACCTGTAAGTTGAGGGTTGTTTAAAGATTTTAGGAGTTATAAGAATTTTGTGTTGGTGGTAAAGCGCTATCATGATCGAAAGTATTCCAGCATGAGGAAAAGCAGGGGCAGAAGAGTAGAGCATTGGTGGCTGTAAGTTGTAAGAGTTCAGGGAGAACATCAGTATGCAGCATCATACCGGCAGCTTGAAAATCAGAAGTCTGAATTTGAATCGCCTTCATTGCAGCTGATATGGCTGTGATATATCCAGCGTTTGGCAGATGTTCCAGAGCTGTTAAGTATGGTGTTTGAGCCTGCTAACAGGGTGGTCATCTCCTCTTATTGAGAAGCTAATAAGTTAAAAAGCAGCATTTCGGTTGATCAGCTAAACTTGAGTTCTTTTGAAGAATCCTGCAAGAAGCTTCTTTGGGTGTTTGCGTTCTGTGCTGCAATGATGTTAGATTTAACCGTGGAACAGTTTCACGTCTTTTCAGTTTATCCAGAAACTTACTACTTTCTTGCACTTTTTCAGCTACCGCCATCGTAGAACAGAGCAGGAAGAAGACGAGGAGCTGTTAACAGAAAGCTCCAAGGCAACTAACGTCTGCACGCGATTTGAAGAATCTCCATCATGTGTGTTTCCTGTTGTTTAAAACAAAGTTTGTTTTCCTCCTTTCCAAGGACAATGAATCAATCTGGGGGGACGAGAGAAGGAGAGAAAAATCCAGCACCAGTCTAATGGGACAAAATGTATTAGTGAGGGACTGTTTTCTTTCCAGTCAGGCTAGAAGATGGTCCAGTGTCTCTCCCTTTAGAAACCCAGTTGCTATTCTTTAGTTACTAGCAAAGAGCTTGCTGGTTTTAAGTCTGTAATCTTACAGTTTTTACATATGTAACCTGTCCTCTGATACGATTTAAAGTACTGAACAGCTTCCAGTTCATTTAACAGAGAGTCCAGTATTCTGCTGTTCTAACTCCGGCTGTATTCTGGTTTGGCGGGTGGTGACAGTTAGAATTTCTATGTTGGGTTCTTGCAGAAAACAAAGCTATTGGAGCAGCTTGCAGAAACAAAATCAATGTGTCGCTGTCTCCAGTCTGCATTGTCCTTGAGATTTACTGCATGAAATTTATTACTTGATTTCGTTCTATAGCTTAGATAATCGGTATCAATTAGCAGACAAGGGATGGTGAAATTCTTCGGTAAGTTTCTACAGATCTTTTAGTCTATTCTTTCTTGTCTTTTAGATGTTAAATGGGGAAAGCTGCGTGATTATCAGGTCCGAGGATTGAACTGGCTCATCTCTTTGTATGAAAACGGCATCAATGGTATCCTAGCAGATGAAATGGTATGCACATAGCTTGTGTTTGCGTTTTAGTTCAACTATATATATGGTTTCTTCAGTAACACAAAATACAATATATAATTTGCCAAATCTTATTTTTCTAGTGTGTTTTAAGTCACTAGTGTTAAAAATGTCACAGGTATCTTAGTTTAAATAAGCTATGCAGGCATAGAAATAATAGGTATATGAAAAGAGAATCTGTTGACATTTAGAACAATAAAATACAGTGGAGGGGAGTTGTTCTATAGAATGACATTATCCTCTTTTTTTTTTTTTTTTTTTTTTTGTACAAGCTCTAGAGGCAGCTATTTTGTTATGGTATTCTCCAGCTGCCCTTGTGGAAGAGAGTGTCAGGTATGAAAAGAGCAGTAAATGTGGGAACACTTCTGGCTGTTATTAGGGTAGAATGCAGATAGCATGATACGAGTGTCCCATAAGGACTGGTTTCAGCAGCAAGAGCTACAAAAGTGGGAAGTTTTCTGGGAAAAATGGTGCAAAGATAGCTGTAGCTAGAGAGCTGTCTTGAAATTTCTTTCACACCATAACCATAGATATTTCAGTCAGCACTGGCCATAGTAGCTTTTGCTTCTGGTTTTATTCTTTTCCCTGAAAGACAAGGGATGAAGGCAGAAGAAATCGCAGTAGTTTGACAGACAGATATGTTTTTGCCCTCTTAAGTGATTTTAGTTGTATCTGTTTTTAATAAGGAGCAGATGAGGAAAACAGAAATCTAATTATATTTCAGTATATTGCATTTTACATACCTTCTGGTAATTTCTTTTCTGTGTAATAAAACTTCTTCAAGATAAATTAGAGACAAATGGATTTAAATTATTGTTTAGTAACACACTTGATTTTAAAATAGATCAAGGATTTTCTTCAGCCTATGTGCTTATGAAAAGAGGAATTTTTTTTTGCTGAGTACAATTTTAAGTGGAGCAGGCTTGTTTAACAAAAACAACCGGAAAACTAAGTCTTTGGATTTGTGATATTCCAAAATCCATCTTGTGTTGAGGAGTTGAAATATTTACTGGTAAATATTTTTGGATTCAATCTTAAATATTAATCCTTTTGAACTTACTAACGCCTTTCACACAGCTTGTAAGTACTTTTCCACATCTTACAGCAGGTGGTTAGTTGGAATACAAAAACTTGAATTTTTGAAGCAAAAGTAACTTGCACTGATGGTTTTTGTTGGTTGGTTGTTTGTTTGTTTTTAAATCCCATGTGTTTGAGTCATCTTTTTGAATTATTTAAATTATATAAATGATCTGATTTTTCCATGTCTTCTGCAGTTTTGTTTTAATTAACATTATATGCTGAAGACACGAAGTTTTAAGTATTTCTGTTGAAGGAAGAACAGAGCACTTAAAAAACCATGCTTTTAAAAAAGCTCAGTGTTTGTTTCTTCTTTGACATATGCAGCTGTTTACATTTATGATTGGCTTTCTTCTTACAAGAACTGGCATCATGTCGTGACCTGTAAAAGCCTCCTTACAGGGTTCTTGATTTATTCACTTTATTTCAAGTTAAGAGAACACGTATGTCCAGATTGTAAAGTTTATTGACCTCTAAATAACTCACCTGAGTACACTCTAGTCTACAAAACAAAGTTTATGAAATAATGTTTGTTTGCACTTCTAAGAATGCGTCTTACTTGAAAGGTAAGGAAAAATTCTAACTTCATAATCCAAGATTTGAAAATGTTACTCTTCCTACTTTTTTTATTAAATGTGGGAAGCCATGCAAGCTTTTCCTAACCGAGATTTTGGTGCCTTTTGTGAGTGGCGCTGTCTTTGATACATCTCGCTCATTTGTTCAGGCTGCTGTGTCTTCCATGTTGTACTCAGAGCTCGCTCTTGGGTTTTTGAAAGGTGTTTCCTGTGAGATTTTTTTTCTGACATGTTAACGTCTCTTCCAGGGTCTTGGGAAGACACTGCAAACAATTTCTCTTCTTGGGTATATGAAACACTACAGAAATATTCCTGGTCCTCACATGGTGTTAGTTCCTAAGTCCACTCTGCATAACTGGATGAACGAATTCAAGAGATGGGTCCCTACGCTTCGAGCAGTTTGTTTGATAGGCGACAAGGACCAGCGAGTAAGTTGTGATGTGATTGTTTTTCCGGTGTAAATCCAGCGTGTGATCTTGCTGTTCTTTACCTTTACCTTTCCTTCACTTGGCTTTGCAGTGGTGAAACAGTAAGGCCTACGAGTGCTACCTGCTTAAAATAGTTTTAACTTTGAATTCACACGTGTGTTGCCCAGCAGTTGCTTCATCACTTTACAGTTTAATTACTTGACCAGAGGTTTTCTGTCTCCTCTTGTGAAGGCAACGCAACCTGATAAATTTTAAAAAAGGAAAATAAAGTTTTTCATGTGGAGTGCTGTCATTTGTATGAATATATAAATCTGCAAAAAGGTAATTTGTTTTCTGCTCTACATAGAACTGTGCGTTGTACAGCTGTAACAGCAGCTTTTAAGGGGATTATGGGGTCTGTCACTAAGGAACTGTTTTCTGAATGCACTTGTCAGCTTAATGTTGGAGGGGGCAAGGTGGGTTGGTTGGTGGAAGTGATACACAATTGGATCCTACTTGGCTTGAATTTTGTCAGTTAGAGAAAATGTTCAGCCTCTTACTGCCTTACTGTTGCAGTCATTCTGTTTTTGTCACTTCACTATCGGTTCTCTGCTACTTTTTTAGCATAGCAAAGAAAATGTGAAAACCCATGGAATATGATGGTGCATCTGTAGGTTTGTCAACTGGAGTTACCCATTTATTTATGGAAGGAAGAGTTATCACTGGTGCCATTAAATGCTTTTGTCGGCAGGTTTTTTTTTTATTCTAAGGGCATCTGGCTCTATTTTCAGAGTTTGTCGGGTTAGAAATTACAAAGGTATTGATGAAACTTTACACAGTTCTAGAGGTCATTGATCCAGGTCTAATATCTTGTGACTTTTTTTTTTAGTACTACTTTTAGTGACTTTTTTTTTGAATCCAAAAGTTCGTATTCTTTCGTCAGTATATTTCTTGCTTGTGTGAGTGAAGTTCTTGACAGGTATACATCTCCATATCTTGAATTCTGACTAATTACTGTGTCTGCTTTTAACCTTGGGTGTTAGTGTTCTAGAAATTGCTTAGTTAGCCAGATAAAGCTGTCCCTGGGATTATTTTTTATATTCAAAAACTACTGTTTTCTACACTTAAGAAAAAAAAATCAAAGCAAACCTACAGAAAATTCATTTTGAGTTCCGATCTTACCGTTCCGCTATTGAAAACCTCATGTGTGTAGGTAGTCATCTGCAGTTTCCAAAGGGAGAAGTTAGAGGTGAAATCCCTTCTCTACTCTACTCCAAGGGTTTTGGCACCTTCAGCACTGACAAAATTGTCAAGGTTTACAACGTTGTATGTTAGATTGCCTCTATAATTAATTTTTATCTTTCATTCCAAATTTAGTAGCAACATTGTTTTAAAATTTTAACAGCGCTGGTGTGTCCTTTTTGGTTTAGATTTGATGAAGCCTCAGTAACTAACTGTCACCTTGTTGTCTAGGCTGCCTTTGTCAGAGATGTGCTGTTGCCTGGAGAGTGGGATGTCTGTGTGACATCATATGAAATGCTTATCAAAGAGAAATCAGTGTTCAAAAAGTTTAACTGGAGATACCTAGTTATAGACGAAGCCCACAGGATTAAAAATGAAAAATCAAAGGTAATTTATACTTTTGTGAAAGAATAAATATTTGTGTGGGTTATTAGGTGGTAGTGTGGGGACTAGTAATATTTTGATATTTGCTCATGTCTCGCTGCCTTTCAGTTATCAGAAATTGTGAGAGAATTCAAGACTACAAATCGTCTGCTGTTAACTGGAACTCCACTTCAGAACAACTTACATGAACTCTGGGCGCTTCTTAACTTCCTTTTGCCAGATGTCTTTAACTCATCTGAAGTAAGTCTTCATTGCTGCTAATTAAATTAACTTTGCTGGTTTTCCAGATTTGAAGAGAGACCCAAATACATATGGCTAGGAGTATCCGTTACGGATAACGATAGATTAACAGCTAGAAATGCTTCCAGATTTGTGAAGTACAGTAGGGTAGACTGCTTTTCTCAGCTCTTAGTTTTTAAAGGGCTGTTGTGAGCTTAGCAGATATAAGAGGTATCTAAAATCACAATGTGAAGATGAGCTCTGCTGCATTTGAAAATAGGTTGAAACACTGTGATGGCTAAAGCAACTACCTTTGTTCTTACATTTAACTATAATTTAAATAAGTTACCTTATTGTTTATCTAAACAAACCTTATTGTTTATCTGTGGCTTCTTTCCTGTGAGTTGGGAGATACTATATAAAGAGCAATAGACGTAACAAAACGAAGCAGCTGCTTCACTGTTGTGATGAATTGAGAGTGTAAGGTCTGTAGAAAGGGAAGCCTTGTGGTGCATTACGTCAAATTTTTTTTTATTTTTACTTTTCATCGAATGCTGCGGTAGTCGCTTCTTCCAGTTGGAATTTGTCCAATGGAGTTATATGAGTGAATCTCTTTCAACAGAAGAAGACTCACATATTGATCTTTTTTTTTTTTTTTTCCTTCGAAATGGAAGGTTTTCTTTGGTGTTTTGGAAGACATTGTGTTACAGAGCTTTCCATAAAAATAGACCAAAGAGGGTAATTTGTTCTTTTACTTACTGCCTGTGTAAGAGAACCGCTTGAACTCTGTTTATTCACTGTTGTAATGACATTGCACCTTGAAAGGAAACCTCTTACATACCAATGATGTTGTTGATACAGGACTTTGATTCATGGTTTGATACAAACAACTGCCTAGGGGATCAAAAGCTGGTGGAACGTCTCCACATGGTGAGTCTTTCTGCTTTTTGTGTAAGTGTTACTTTTGCCTGTTAGATTCTCAATAATTCTTCTAGTGCTTCTTGTGACAGAATACGAGAGTGAGATAGCTTATTCCAGGAACTATGGTAGACTTTCAGAAAAGGTTGGTGATGCTCAGAAGATGGTCTAGTTCTTGAAAAGGAAATTGTTTTGGAGAGAAGGGTTGATAGTTCTGGCTTTCAGGGTTCTGAAATGCTTATGATTAAAAAAAAAAATGGCTGTGAAGAGACTAAATATCTCAGTCAAGCAAAATTAAAAGAGAACCAAGGGGCATAGAACAAGCTGAAAGATGATTTTGGCCTAATCTTTGAGTGTTTCATATGGAAGACTTCCATATAGGTTGTTTTTTCAGATGATCTGGTAATAGGCCTATGTGAGCATTTATGATAGAGGGTATCTGCACTGCTTTTGTCTGTTGACTGCTCAGCGTTTCAGTTTCCAAAATACATTTAATGATGCAATCTCTTTCAGGTGCTACGACCATTCCTTCTACGTCGCATTAAGGCTGATGTAGAGAAAAGCTTGCCTCCAAAGAAGGAAGTTAAAATCTACGTGGGTCTCAGCAAAATGCAGCGAGAATGGTAATTCATGTACTTGGCTGCCCTGTGGTTAAGGCTCAGAAAGAATGTGCTGCTTGTGACTTGATTATTGTGTGGAACTTGATTTAATTCCTTCTGGTGTACTCCCTACTCATACGTATTTCCTCATGACACTTGTGCTATGCCAGAACTGTGTATGTCAGGGAGAGTTGCCTGATGAAATGAGGGGGAGGGTGAGCCTTTGACTATACTTACCATTTAAGGAAAGGCCAGCTTCCTTTTGGAGTTACAAAAGTTTTTTCTTTCTTTGATGTAGGTATACACGGATCTTAATGAAGGATATAGATATATTGAATTCAGCTGGGAAGCTGGACAAAATGAGACTGTTGAATATCCTCATGCAGCTGCGAAAATGTTGCAATCATCCGTATCTCTTTGATGGAGCAGAACCTGGTCCACCTTACACAACAGATATGCATTTGGTCACCAACAGTGGCAAAATGGTAGTACTGGACAAACTGCTGCCTAAGTTGAAAGAACAAGGTGGGCATCTCTTGTTGGGGAGTTGTTTGGTTCAGTGATAAAAACGAAAGTCAGTGCTGCTTGATGTTTCCATGTACCCTGAGCAAAACCCAGCGCACTGTAGCCAGGACTATCGCTGGTTTCTAGCATGATACCAGCTTGTGTCTTACACAACTACAGTTTGTAAAGTGCCTTCGTCAGTAATTGGATCAGTAGTCCATTATGACTTTTTTGTGATGGTGAAGTGTTTTGATTTTTTTTTTCTTTTTTCTTTTTTTTTTTCATCCCAGCTAAATTGAGACCAACAAACATCAGTTGGTCTGGGCTTTAGGTTTTCTTTCTTAGCATTATCAGCTGTTTGAAACATAATCATGTAGTATTTTGGTGACTCCTTTGATTTACCATGAAGTACCATTTCAGATTCAAAGTCTTCATGCGAAAGTCAAATCCTTTGTGAAATGTTGGTCTTTCTTGCTGGATGTGATTTTGAGCAGCACCTGAGCTTTTTTCCGGGAATTCTTGAAGCCGTGCAAACATGGGGGAAGACTTGGTTATTTTAAAGTTATTTGATAGTAGGGGCAAAGCTCTGGAATGCATTGCTGTAAAACTCAGCTGCCACAGAATTTTTTGCTCTGGAATAAATTTTTAACTCATTATTTTAATAATGAAGTAACTTGGCTGAGGGAGTGGAGGAAAGTTTGTGACTGGGAGACATTGCAGAAAAAGAAAACCAGATCCAAACCTGAGCCTTAGGTAATATAAAAGTAACCAGTTCTTTGTATCCAGGTGTAATTCCAGCATCTGTGGTGATACGTGTCCTTGTAAGACTGAAAAAGAAGAATTCAGTGGTTACAGCGCTTTTTTTGATCTGGGTTTCTTTCTGCTATGAGGCTTCTTGTTGAGACGTGGCATGGCGATTGAAATTGGTCTAGTCTTAAATCAAATTACCATTTTAAATGAAAGAAAGTTCATTATTAGACCTTGAGACCAAAGGGCAGGGGAAAAAAATCATACTAGGAGAATATAGGGGGAAGTGGAAGCTTTGTAATATTCTGTGTTTTACTTAAATCTCTCAAGTAGGTTGGAAGTTGTGTGTATATGCAGAAATTACTGTACATTTACACTTTTGGGGGGTTGTTCTTGGCAGATAAGGAAACAGACAAGTCTTTAAGAACAGCTTACTTTATTTCCAGGTATCTTAAATCCAAACCAAATACTTTGAAATCACCTTCTTTTTGACTCCTTGATGTTTTTGTTTTTGTGTTACCCTCTCACTCTGCTGTGTCTGGGAACTTTTTGATAAGGAGTACAACAGAAAACAGAAGCCAAGGGGCAGCCGCTAGCTGCATTCTTACTGCCCAGTCAGGCCAGCCACTGCCGTGGCACGCACGGGAGCCTGCCCGTCAGTAGCCGAGCGGCTGTAACAGCTACAGTTGGGTCACACTCCCGTCACAGCTGCTGTTCTCTGGAACCCTTCAGCCGCGCGTTGGGCACTGGGAAGGGCTGTGGTGGTTTGACCCTGGTGGGCAGCTCAGCCCCGCGCAGCCGCTAGGACAGCAGCAGCTGCCGCCCCGCCTTAACATGTTGGGTCCTGAAATTTGGCTTTTCTTCTTGATACGGGGAGCTCCCTCCTTCCCTTTCTGGTAATGCAAACTTACAGAGTTTGATCAATCTTAAGTTTTGGTGAAAACATAAGAGAGCTTTTTACCCAAACAGGCTCAAGAGTCTTAATCTTCAGTCAGATGACCAGAGTCCTGGATATCTTGGAAGATTACTGTATGTGGCGAAATTATGAATATTGTAGACTGGATGGACAAACACCACATGATGAGAGACAGGTATTTAAAACTGTAAATATGTTATTTAAGCAGAAATAGTACTTGTGAAATGTTTGGTTCACCTGATGTGTTCCCTTTTTTTATTTAGGCATCTATTAATGCATATAATGAACCCGGTAGCTCAAAATTTGTGTTCATGTTGAGCACACGGGCAGGAGGTCTTGGAATCAATTTGGCTACTGCTGATGTCGTCATTCTGTATGATTCAGACTGGAATCCACAAGTAGACCTTCAAGCTATGGTAAGAACCCAGATGAAAACTATACTCTTCTTTCTTCTCTCTCACAGAACTTTCCTAGAAACGTGTGGCATGATGTAGTATTTCCAAAATAAAGGGGTATTTTTCCTCTTTTAGCACAGGAGTAGTATTTGCAAGACCGATTTTCAGTTCCAATGCAGCTTCCACTGTGTGGAACCCTCAGTCACATCTGGGCTGTACAATGCTCTGTGCGGTGGGAAATGCTGGGTACATGCTGCAGTACTCTTAGTAGTATTTAACAAAAAAAGCCTACTTTGTTTTTTTTGTTGGGTTTTTTTGGTTGGGGGTTGGGTTTTGGTTTTGTTTTTGGTTTTTTTAAATAATCTAGCGTGTTAATCCCAAGACTATAAAGCTTTACTTCTGTGGGGAGTGGAGGTGAATATGTTTACAGCGTCTTCCCTGAGACCTTGGAAAAGAGACAAGGAAAAGCTGAATTAAACTTTTCAAAAACTGCTTTTATGGTGGTGATAAGTGAGCAAGCTCCTTTTAGCAACCATCTTTAATTTTTCTTGACGTAGGTTTGCATGCATCTCCAACCTCAGGACATGTTGTGAACGCTACTGCCCACATAAGAAAGCAAAGCTACTTTAAAACTGCCAGAGTCTTTTGACAAATGAGGCCTTTCAGTGACAAATCTTGGAAATTTCTATGTGGTTGTTTCAGTTAAGCTGTAGGTTCTCAAGTATTCTAGCAAAAATTAGTTCAAAAGAGTGATGGAACTGGTGTCTGGAAGCTAAAGCGAGGTAGTTGCAGCTACCACTAAAGGTGTATGTTCAGAATACTAATTCTCACAGTGGTTAATGATTTGCCAGTCAGGTGAGACGGTGCATTGTAGTTTTCTTGAAACATTCATGGCACAACTGAACCATTTTGAGAAAGGTAGCTTTTGGTCAGTACAGAGATAATTTCTCAAACACTTTGATTTTACAGAAGGTTGCATAAGGTCAGGAGCATCCAACAACACCCCAAAACCTGCAATGCAGATAAGAATGTGCTGTCTTGGGTAGCAGTCCTGTCAACGGGGCGTCTGTAAAGATTTGACTAACCTATGCTGATCCCATTTTAAGTCAGTATGTTGAAACGAGCGGAAAGTGAAGATGAAGTATATAGTCATGCTGGAAACCAAGCACTGAATTGCTTGTTCCTTTTTTTTGCCTAGGATCGAGCACACAGAATTGGCCAGACAAAGACTGTTCGAGTGTTCAGGTTCATCACAGACAATACAGTAGAAGAAAGAATAGTGGAACGTGCAGAAATGAAGCTCCGGCTGGACTCCATAGTCATTCAGCAGGGCAAGTACACGAAGGCCATTTGTTTGTACAGATGATCTGCTTCGCTGCTTTTTTTCACAACTTGTAAACGGTGGCAAAATCAGCTAGTTGGTGTCAAAGGGAGTGTTAATTTTGCCTCAGCTGAACTCTGAAGATAGACTGCAAAGGTCTGATCCACTTTAAAATGCATTTTGCTGTAGGGCTAGGCTTTTCCTCACTAACTCTTTGATTACCCCCCTAGTGATGCACACCTACAAGTGGGTATGGCCAGATTTATTTATGGTTTGTTTTTAAAAGCACTCAGCTTCTCATTTGAACTGGCAAAATTAATGCCTTGCCTTTTTCTAATAGATGGGGAGAAGTGATGACAGTGTCACCTTCTTGGCTGACTTATTTGGAATCAGTAACTTTATTTCTGGGGAAAAAAAAAAAGATACAATAAGGTTTAGTCTGGAAATTGTAAAAATACACACCATGACAAAGCTTACATGGAAGACCTCGCATCCAAAATGATGTTTGTTGAACACAGTTCATGTATAACACCACAAACGTGTGTGATCCCTGGCTAGGTTTTGCTGCTTTTTTTTTTTGGT